ACCAGGCGAATGTTGCTAGAGAACGTACTACCCCTCGCTGGAGAAACCTATAAATAGGTTTATGGAACTCTAATGAGCTTCCACCTCTGCGGTTTAGTAACAGAAACGAATAAAACTAGATTATTTTAACCCGCTGGGTTTGAACTACATAGCCTGTTGTGATTTATTTTAGAGAAGAAGAAGAGCGACCGCTGGAGCAAGACTTTAATTCGCCTGACGTTTCCACGTCCGCTGCGGATTCTTCCTCAGAGACATTTGCAAAAAGATTAGCGGAAATGGAGTTTGTTTTATTGTTTGTTTTGTTATTTGTTGTATTATTGCACGGATATGGGTAGTAACCTTCTGTACGTTATCTGTTACGTCCTTTAGCTGTATGCATACGGCTGTTTTATCGTTGTTTTTGTTACTTTATTTCCTTTTATTTGATTAGAGTCGCATTCTGTTTATTTTTCTACTACCGATTTCAGTTTGTTGCTATATATATATATGTATATTCACTCAGGAATGTCCGAACACCGATCCAATAGGCTTCCGACCTAAACAAAGCTCACGTGGTGGCTAGAAGTCCCGAAACGGGTGACTACCTGCCAGGCCTGCGCCGGCCAACTTGGCTGATGAAGGCAAATAAGCCCGAAACAGTTCTGTATCAAGTTACCCCCAAACGCTGTAATCCCTCTCTGCTATTATGACTTGGCCGGCATCGGCCTGGCGGGTGGTCACCGGTTTCGGGACCTCTAGCCACCACGTGAACTTTTTTTAGCTCGGAAGACTATTGGATCGGTGTTCGGACATTCCTGAGTGAATATATACTCGGTCTACAGTGACAGCAAATGACAGGTGGTAAGGCATTGATGAACTTTGGTTCGATGAAGTTCTTATGACCCATCTGCTAGATCCCACTGGTGGACCAGCTGCGCCATCTGTGAGTGCTTATGTTCGTTTTGTCCGACTCAGTCGGTGGTCAGGGTTATGCTTGGCTGAATGAAGGCGAATAAGCCTGAAACAGTTCTGTATCAAGTTACTCCCAAAGGCTGTCGTCCTTCTCTGATATATATAGGCCAAGAAGAATACACTTGACGGAGGGATACTTGTTTTTCAATGTTTGCTTCGCCAGCCCCTCCCGTTGGAACCCCTTTTTTCTCCCAAATCCCCCGCATTACCCCCAAAAGAGCGACACTTTTCTCCTAAAAATCAGAGGAGTTTTTTCACTGTCTGCTCCTATTTTTCCATCCCATGACACAGGACATTTGGCCTCGCCAACAGTCTGAGAAACAAATATTCTGCTACCACTACACATATGTACAAATAGGGAACTCAAAGGAATTTTTCCTACATATCCCTCAATATACTGATAATGATACTATATGTCGGCGCTTGAACACGATGAGATCCCATGCTTAAGACTCCCACTACCACCGTTCCAGTTTTATACGATCCTAGGGTGATTGCTTGCTTATGCGAGGTTTATGTGACCTACTTTGGGCCAAACAACCGCCCTATAGGGGCCAGATAACACTTTCTGCAGTGAGATTGAGCCAGCCTTCTAACGTTGTTACATTGTTGTAACATCTGTTATAACCAGAAAGAAGATGCTGCGGAAAAGCTCATTACCCGGATAAAGAGAGAGAAAAAAATTAAAAATTGGCAGTAGTTGCCCCTCCTCGAGGTGGTCGTTGGGCCGATTCCTTACAATGAAGCAGAGACAGCGGTTGGCTAGGACGCAACGAACACGCAACAACTGGGTTTTCACAACAGCCATACCGTGGCCCAAAAACAATACTTCAAACGCATTCCAGACCCACCAAAACACGCAGAAGAAAACCTCGAGATGAAGGATATTCTCGTGGCCGATTTGTACCGAGTGTGAGTACGTATGAGCTAATGCCTACCTAATCCCCTATAGGATCAGTATCAGTATATTTACGGGATATATGGGTTGATTGCCTTTGAGTTCCCTATTTATACATATGTGTCGTGATACCAAAATGATATCTCAGTTTGTTGGCGAGGCCAATCGTCATGAACCATGAGGTGGTACCTAGTTTTTCTGAGCAGACAGTGAAAAAACTCCTTGGGACTTTTAAGGAGAAAAACTGTCGCTCTTGCGGCGGGGGAGGATCTGATGGGGTATGGGGTTAAGGAGAAAAAACGCCCGGTTTTGCGGGGAGGGTCCAATAGGGGGGGGGCATTGCAGAGGTCACCAGGATCATCACTGAGTGCGGAAGATGCGGCCTGATACTTCCTTGCTGATTGCAGAGTCCACCGACAGGTTGGTAAAACGGAAGTATCTGC